TTCATCAAAATCGGTCCATAACGTTTTGAGTTATGTTGCTAACAGACAAACAAACAAACAAACTAACAGACAAACAAACAAACAAACTAACAGACAAACGCCGGCAAAAACATAACCTCCTTGGCGGAGGTAATAATACACATATTTCAGTTAATTTAGTTGAATTTTTTGTATGAATAATTAAGCTCACATATGGAGTTAAAAGCCCTCACCCATCTTGCGACAGTATGGTACATCCTCGCCCACATAACCCCTTCCCCAGTGTGAACTTTGCATGTATATGTTAAAAGCAAAGTTGATCATATTTCTTTGCCTGTAACATATACAGTACAATACACTTTCTCATTCTTTGCTCTTTGTAGTGGTTAATCACTCTTTTCACAAACCTTTAAACACTTTTTTTTTTTTTTTTTAACCTTTTTTTTTTATCTCCTATAACAAAAATGCTAGATTGATGTGATTTGGATTATTGTCCATTAGAAATAACATCTGTTAAAGACTGTTGTTTTTCCTGAGATCTGCTGTAGCCACTTTTCCAGTTTGGGGGTTACAGCCCCGAGTGCTCCGATCACCATGGGCACCACTGATGCCTTCATTTTCCAGGCCTTCTCCAGCTCTTCCTTGAGACCCTGGTATTTCTCTAGTTTCCACATATGTTCAGATGTGTACACTATGCCCGCCACTTGGATATGTTGCTCCATGTATGCTTTCCCTGCAGCATATTACACCTGCAGTTCTGTGCTGGACTGTCTCAGGAGCCTCTTTGCACAGTCTACACCGTGGGTCTTGTCTGGTGTGGCAGATCTGGGCCTCTATTATTCGCGTGCTCCTGAGCAGCCAGGATCAGTGCCTCTGTGTGTCCTTCAGACCAGCCCTCTCAAGCCACTGGTAGGATTTCTTGCTATCAGCCACTTCAGTTATGTTCCGGTGGTACGCCCCATGTAGGGGTTTTTCCTGCCATGATGGTCCCTCCAGCACCTCTTCCTCTGGACCCCACTGTCTGAGACATTCTCTGAGCACCTCATCTGTCGAGGCCTTGTCCTTGATGTTCTCAAGGAGCTTGGATGTTTCATCCTGGACAGTGGTTCCCAAACTCACTAGTCCTCGGCCTCCTTCCTTCCGGCCTGCGTACAGTCTCAGGGTGCTGGATTTGGGATGGAACCCTCCATGCAGGTCAGGAGCTTTCATGTCTTAACATCTGTGGTCTGTATCTCCTCCTTTTGGCCAGCTTATGATTCCTGGGATCTGATCACTGGCAGGGCGTAGCTGTTGATTGCCTGCGCCTTGTTCTTGCAGTTGAGCTGCTTCTTAGGACTTGCCTCACTCTTTGCCGGTATTTGGCTGTAGCCGCTTTCCTTGTTGCCTCTTCGAGGTTGCCATTTGCTTGTGGGATACCAAGGTACTTGTAACTGTCCTCGACATCTGCTGTTGTTCCCTCTGGGAGTGCGACCCCCTCTGTGTGGACTACCTTTCCTCTCTTTGTCACCATCCTGCTACATTTCTCAAGCCGAAATGATATTCCAATGTCTGTGCTGTAGATCCTGGTGGTGTGGATCAGTGATGTTTCGCTCTTAGCGTACAGCCTGTACATGTAGAGGAGGTGACTGATGGTGGCCCTGTGTCTGAATCGGTATCCGTAGCCAATGCGGTTGATTATTATCAGGGTGATTCTCGTTCCTCGGCTTGGGCCTTATTAAATCCACATGCCTTTTTTAAATTAATTAATTAATTTGTATTATTGTTTTTCTACATGCTGAGCTCTCATTTACCCCATGAAAAGTTTTATGTGGTACTACCGTCTTTCAGTATTTTGTTATCTTTAATACCAGTCACTGGCATGTTCATCCTTGTTTTTTTCTCAGTTGGCTCCCACGTACGAACCACATGTGGCCTTGCTTAGAGCAAGGTCAGATTGGCATAGACAAGCAGGTGTTGTCAGATTTTAAACAGGAAGCAGTACCTGTGAATGATGTCCCAAAGCCTGAGACCGTCGTCCCTGTAGTAGTAGTTGGGCACAGACTGCACTCCTCTGTCTGTGATGTCGTCTCGGATACACAGAGAGCTGTAGGTCAGGGAGGACAGGCCCTTCTGAAGGATGGTCACCAAACCCTCTCCACCACAGGCACTAACCTGGAATAACAGAAATAGCATTTTACTTTGCATATGTATTGTTTTTAACCAACTGCAATATCTTACATGTTTGAGGACACCATCTTCAGAAATAAGTCTCTGTCGAGCCAGCACATTGATTTCTAGAGTGTATCGGGTGTGAGGAACAAGAAGCTGTGAAGAGAAAAACACAGAGACAACTAATTATTTCAAGTCAGTTGAAAGTATCTGTAGAACATGCATAGGTATAGTGACCGCACAGAGCATCAATCAATAACTCACATTTATATATAGCATATTGAAAAACAACCATGGTTAATCGAAGTGCTTCACAAAATACAGTGAACAATAAAAATACAACAAAGCCCTGCATTAATGTTCATAGATGGTGGTATCTTCTCAGACAGTGTCAAATGCTAGTGAATTTTAGACATGTGTTTAGTACAGTTTTAAAATGCTCAAGAGATTGTGCAGCTCAGATGTGGAGTTTGGGAGCTCTGATTGAGAATGCTCTAGTCCTCTCTGTCCCTTCTGTCCCCTCTGCTCAAAAGCCTCAAGCAAGCACCTCCAGAGCAGGTGGTCAGCAGACATCAGGTCTCTGGTAGGTGTGTGAAAAACAGAGCAATGCAGACAAGTACAAAGGGGGTTTACCATTTAGACATAGACTTAGATTTAGACAAATCTTTAAGGAGGTTTTAACAAGGATATAGCTTGACTTGACCACTGTATGTATATGTTTTTCTAATTTAAAGTTTACATGACCATCCCAAAGGTTCTGTACAGAGTGGTCAATGACAGTCAATTACTGAGGACATCGGTCACCGAAAACAACTTGTAATGTAGCTAGTCCATTACATGGGCTTGGTGCTAGCTAACATGTGTTTTAAGGACAGAAACAAACAAAGTTTGATAGTGTTGCTATCCGTGCTATTACACAACCAGTTCAGTCTTCTGTTTTATTCAAATGAATACAATTAGTGATCATCCAAGACTTGATTTCACTAAGACACTTCAACAAGGGGAACAGTGAATCTTTAGGGCTATGCTTAAGTGGAATGTATATCTGTAAGTCATCTGCACACAAGGGAAATGCAGTGTTATGTTCTTGGAAAATGAGACTCTGGGGAACATAGCAAATAACAACAGCCCCAAAATAGAGCCTTGTGTCACTTCACATGTAAATGGGAGATACAAATTATGAGCATGGGTCAATATGAATAGGAAAAAATCCTATCTTATGAATAAGAGCAAAACCATTGCAGAAAAACCAAGTTAATATGACCATAGCGCAACCATAGCTCAGCCCAACCACACCGTCAGTTACCCGGAAGCCCCATTTACAGTATATAGACCTATCATGACAACACCATCTGTCTCCACTCTCTTGACACACTCTCTCCCACCCTATGTCTCTCGTTCATCCGTCAGCCTGAAGACAGAAGGGTGACCTGAATCGGCTGGGCTGACCATCTGAGACAGAGCCCCCATCCTGAGTGGATGTTCCTTTAATCCCCAACAAGAGCATAGAGAAAGTGCTGACCTTGTACAGAGGGTGCACCCTGGGCATGTTTCTCAGTATAGCCACAGTAAAGACTTCAGCGAGCAGGTGAGTACGCAGCAGGTGCACATTAATCTCATGGTAGTTAAAATCTGCACTTCTCACAAAGGTCTTGGCCAGTAACCACTCGTACTCTGAGTCGGCTGGGAGAAAGATGGGGTTGTCCTTGATGGCGTCTGTTTGAGCTGCAGGGGCAGACACATAACCTGTTACTTCATGCACCTGTGTGAATGTTCCCAGTAGGGCTGTCGCAGTTAGGGAATTCCCCCCCCCGGCCCTGAAAACTCTCTCTGATGATAGCGTGTGTAGCGTGGGAGAAGTAACATTTGGCTTTGGAAGAAGTGCTGCTGCATCTCTCTAGCTCTCACTGTGGCAGCTCGGGGCAGAGTCCTGGACCGGCTCGGGTACATGCGGACTTAGGAGAGAGAGAACCCTGAGCACGAGCATGCACAGCAGGTGTCTGCAAAGCACGATTGGGCAATGACTGCACTTAACTCTGTACACCGCAGAGCTCTGTGGCGGTCCTTTCCCCTGTGGTCACCAAATGGTCTACGCGGGCGTGCCTTAGTCCTGGGTTAGTCCTGGGTTAGTCCTGGATTATTACGGGCACGGGCAGGTAACGGGTGGAATGTTAATGGGTCTGGGGGTCTGCAGGTCTCTAAAAATGGACCTGTGCAGGACTCTGGGTCGGGTCACATTGGTCATGTGCGGTAATCACGGTGGCCCAACATCCACCTCGGTGGGCCTCTTAGTACCGTGGTGATTCATTTTTGTGGTTATAGCAACAGCCCTATTTCCCAGGAGCAGCTTGATGTCCCACCTGAATGGCTACTGGCTTCAGCGCGTCATCAGAGGTTTTGTGAAGGAGAACAAGAGGAGCCATCAGATACTGCGCCTTCCCATTGATAGTATTGGTCTTCACTCCATCCAAAAGCTTATAATCACACAGGAAGATGTTGCCTTTCTAAAATATGAACCACCATACATACAGTGTTAACATTTCAGATTAAAAAGTGGTTATAGAATGTCTAGTTGCGTACACCGAGACAAGACTATTGATAGACGTATACAATAGATGTAGAGTAGTGCAGTCACCTTCATCTCATCTGTCAGTTTGGCCCCACCCTCCAGAGAGACTGTGTCATCTGTGACAGGGAAGTTCACAGGCAGAGAGGAGCAGCGCTGGATCAAAATGGGGTTGAGTCCATTCAAAAACTGGTAGCCAAAGAAATCATCTTTTCTCCAGTTTTCATACACATAGTCTGAAAAACATTCACACATTGTAACAAACTGTAGAGATCACAATAGTATAACAGAGAGAGCAGAGACATACCTGTAACATCTGTTTTGTGTCTGCAAATTTCATTGTAAATGGAATCAAAATCAGTCCAAGGGTATGGATCGTTACCCAAATGTGTCACTTTCAATTCCAGCATCCTTGAAACAATTAGATTTTAATATTTTACAAGTAATATGACACTATTTATAATTGTTCAAATAATGGCTTACGCTGCTACAGCAATACTTAAGAATTCTCCGCCCTTTATGAGAGAGAACTGAACTTCAGGAGGGAGTTCAAACACACTATCTGCTTTCATGCAGTAAGGTATGCCCTCTAAATAAATTTCCCAACTGGAACATATGCAGATAAAATACATGCTAAATATTACAATCATAAAAAGAAAATGAATTGACCAAAGTACAGCACATTACATGCTTACCAGTATTCGTCCATCCTTTGCTTTAACTCCTGTTTCCTTGAGTTTTCAGCAACACGATTATACTCTTCATAGACTTTCACAGCTGTTAAATAAAAAAAAAAAACACAGTAAAGGCATAGCAATACTGCACACATACTCAAAATATGTGAAAACAGATGAATGTTATTCTGTTAACCCAGACCAAGCATTCATTTCCTGGATGAAAAAAAATGTAACCTTGTTTAACATGTTTGTACTAAGCCTCTAATACAGAAAATAATTAGTTTTTTCTTTTTTTCTTTTTTTTGAGGAATCTGTGGAAATGTTGCAAAATTGCAACATTGGGCTTTAGTGGTAACAAATATTACAAACTTCACATTTAATAAAAGCCAACTTTGTATTAGTTATTGCTCACTCAATAAAATTAAAACATATTTTAAAATGAATAAATTTAATTGAAAAAAACAAAACAAAACAAAAAACATATTTTTTTATACAGAACAGCACTAAGTACACGGTATGGCCCCATAGTTGATGTGATGCCTTGTAACCTTTTCCAGTGCTTTGCTTTCATCCATCCACTTTGTGGACAACCTCAGTGTTAGGGATGAACAGAAGCAAGACAAAGTTTGGAAGATTAGGCCATGGTCTGGTGCTAGACCTAGCAGGCTTACCCTGCACACTACCTTGGTTCACATCGAAGTCACAGAGTATGCTGGAGATTCCTATTCTTGCCCAGATCTTAAAGCCCCAGGAATGGGGTTTACCATGCATATATTGCCTGATTCCACTGAACCTTCCCTTGAAAGGAATCATCATTTCATCAATGGAGTTAGTTTTGGCCATCCTGGCTTGTCAAAGTCTGATCTCATCAGATCTAAGAAGCTAAGAATGGCCGGGCCTGATTAGTACTTGGATGGGAGATACTGTGAATTCCAGGTGCCACAGGGGGCGCCAGTTGCAAAAACCCCATCGTTGTGTCCTTAGGCAAGACACTTCACCCACAAAGTGGTGTGTGCAGTGGAGGTCAGACGGGCAGGTGGTGCCGATTGGCAGCCTCCAGGGCAGCTGTGGCTACAGTAGTAGTTTACCACCACTGAGTATGGAGTGAATGAATAATGAACTGTAAAGCACTTTGGGGATCTTGAAAGGCGCTATATAAATGCAATGCAATGATTAATTAATTAATAAATAATAGTAAATAAATAAAAATGTATTAATTATGCTTTTCTAGCACTATCTTTAGAAACTTCTCCATGAAGGATTTCAACCATAGCCAAATCTTCCAAAGTTTGTCTTGTTTCTGTAACACTGTGGTTATCCACAATGTGAAGGATGAAAGCAGCACTGGAAACAGTTCTCACTAACACTGTCCTCTGATTCTATTTCAAAATTATACAATTTTATATAGTACACAACTATAAACACACACACATTCTATTGGCTCAACACTCAGGGGTGAGGGATTCTCTGTGTAAAAAGGGCACCCTTTGTAACCCAGTGTTGCGTTTTTGCAACATTTACTTAAATCACTCTAACTCATATGTAGTATACTTTTTTAAAAATATATTTAACTTTTCTAACACTAAACATGTTAAGAATGAAAGAAAAAATATCACAGATGTTTACTTACTTATACAATTGTTAAAATTTATCCAGAAAAGAGAGCTGGGTGGTCAGTAGAAGGCAGCCATGTCGTTTGACTTTGGAATGTCATATTCACTCCAATATTCATATTTTCCCTCCAAAAGTGTAATATAATGTAATACAGAGTGTTGGTACTGGTATATGCACTTTTTGTTACATTCAGTCAATGTGAGGCATTACTAGACAGCTCTAAGTAAATGTTGCAATTCTGCAACTGTGGGTCTCAGAGGTTAAGTTACATTTTAAACCTAATTAGTCTGTTTAATAGACAAGAATTTTATTTTTATAGCATTTAACATCTATGCATATAGGGTATACAACTTCAGTACTTAGTAGTTTGTTCACCAGTTGTGCTGTTTTAGTTTTGACAAATACTATTCATACTACTAGGAATAGTTTTATCAGTAGGTCATGTGACACTCAACTCACAAAGTTCTGTTTTCAACTTAATCCAGACACATCTGCATATATGTTATGCCTTTAATACCATTGGAGTGTTTGTTATATCTTTATTGATTAAAAGAAAGCTAAAAATGATATATGTAAACTATATATGTAAACTGCTCTGCAGCCATTTTAGTTCATATAAAAGTGTTTATAAAGGTGCAGTCATATGTTTGATTTTATGTAAAAATGCAGTACATTTAATTTCAAAAGGAATATGACTAAAAGCTAAAACTTGTAATATGAATATACAATCAATTTATCATTTTCTCATTTTATTATTTGCAAAGGGACAGCACATATTAATGAACATTAAAATTGTAAATATGTAAAGATTACAGCCAATGTGACTAATATCCTCGGCAGGGAACAGGGAAAAGTACAGCACCAATCACACAAAAGGACATATAACACCAGCACACTCACTATACATACAATTCATTTCAGACAGTTTATCTGAAGTTTGGAGTCATTTTGTTAAACATTTGACATATTTGAACATCGAACAAGCACTGTTTTAAAGCTTTAGCCGTACATGAGCTGTTCTGTGTTCCATGTTTGAGCTGTTCGATAAGCAAAAGAGATTTGTCCAAACGCACTTTTCCTAAAAGACACAGAGCAGTCACCTCTAGAGTTGCTCTTGTTGTGCGATTTGAATTTCTTTACACAAACCCCTTTAAAGGAGGTGGAGCAAGATTATTAAAAACTTTGTATACCAAAATTAAATCTGCATAATTGATTGTGTTGTCCAAATTAAGACATTTGTATTTAGTATTCTGCAATAGTGATAATTAGTGGGATTTTTGTTTAATACCTTCAGTGCTTTTTTAAAGGAAGTTTCAGCTCATTTAAGAGTCGTTTTGCTTGTCAGAGTCCAACTAGTAATTAAATAATTTAGGTGCAGCAAAATCATTGAATTTAAATACATAATTGCCAAGTTTGTTGTCAGATTATTTCATATATGATGAACTTTTGATAAATTATATTTGATTTTATACAATGTTCTTGACATGTGGTTTGAATGATAGTTGTGGGCCCAGTGTGACTCCCAGATACTTCTTGGACTACTTTCAGTTTCACTCCAAACACGCATATATCTGGGTCTGTATCCACGAGAGGATTTTTTTGAGAAAAACATACTGATTTTGAGGTATTCAGATATCATTATGAATGCTGTAGAATGTTTGCTCCCTCTGGCATAGCACCTGACAGATCGTGTGCAGCTGACAGGTCGTGTGCAGCTTGCTGTTTGTTTTTAGAGTGAACATACAAAACTGCATCATCAGCGTACATCTGACACACTACATTAGATGGACAAAATTGGGGCCACTCATTAATTTACATGCTAAACAGCAATGGACCCAGTATCGAGCCTTGAGGCACACCAAGATTGTTTTGAGATGTTGAATAATTCACATTATGCACAGGAACACATTGCTTTCTCAAGACCAGATACGATTGTAGCCAGTTTAAAGTTATTTTTGATAGAATGAAATGAATGAGCTTTTGTAGTAGCTCGTGATGGTTCACAGTGTCAAGTCGATATTGAACACTGATTTTATATTGATGTTTTGACTTGCTATATTTATTTTCAGTGTTGGGAATAATGTCGTTTAAGTATAATGGTATTACCATATTTTCTGGCGAACACTATTCTAGAATGACAAAGCTGAGTGATCTGTTCATGGAGCTGCAGTCAGCTAAGGCCTTTCCTTCTTTAACACAGCAAGAGGAGTTAATCCCATTGTACAAAACTCCCTTTTCATCTGCAGGAAAAGTGGGCATCTAGACCAGAAACACCATTGTGAACAAACAAAGAGCAAGATGTTATGGTACATAAACTGACCACAGACACTGGCCAACCCACCACCGCAACTGGCGACTGTGACAAACTGTGCCCTATCCACAAGAAACCACATGCCTTGGGTAACCGTTGTGCATTCAGAGAAGAACCCATTGAAGATCGTAAGTGTAACCCTGTTAATTTTGCCCAATAAAGTCCCTACATGAAATCTAACTTCAAACCGAATTTAACTGCAACCCCCAGTTTTGCCACTAGGTGGCAGTGCACTTAGAACTTTCTGGAATGCTTCCGCTGGCGGCCATCTTGCTAAGCAGCACAGACTTAGGCTACGTTCAGACTGCAGGGCTTAATGCTCAATTCCGATTTTTTTGTGAAATCCGATGTTTTTGCGAGGTCGTTCACATTTCCAATTAAATGCGACTTGTCTGTGACTTCAGTGTGAACGGTAAACGGTCCGAAAGTGTCCCGCATGCGTACTGGAGGACACGATGACGTCAACCCCATGCGTCAACCGCAGCGAGCGTGCTCTGTGTTTACGGAAGTTGTCCAAACATGGTCGCGAGTATTGAGCACCTGGCGATTTTACAGTTCCGGTTTCCGCCTGCTTCAGCCCAGAATAGTGACGTGTAGGTCGGATGGATGCACTTTGGCTGTTAAGACTGAAGTCGCATGTCATAAGATCAGATATGTATCGGATTCAGGACCATATATCCAAGTGGCCTGGGTCGCATTTGAAAAATTCGGATCTGTGCCGTTCAGACTGTCATTAAAAGATCAGATACACATAGAAGCCAAAAAATGGGATTTGGGTCACTTCAGGCTGCAGTCTGAACGCAGCCTTAGAAACACAGACTGAGACCACAAGAGGTAAAATTGAAATAAATGTAGATTTTGTAATTTAACTAAATCCTGAAACTAACTAATGATATCCTAAAGGTTCTATGAATATTTGAACTGCATTGGAACTGGAAGAAAATTTTGAAAAAGTACATGTTATCCCAGTGAGTCAATTTCTGTTGTGTTACTGCCCTATTGTTGATAAAACCAGTTGGGGTGAATTGTAAATTTCAATTTTGGAAAATCAAATGATTTGTACTTTAAAAAGGAGAACTAATTTTAATTTTGTATGCTAAAGGCCAATTTTAGTTTATGTTCAGTGTTTACAAGTGTACAGTTAATCTGAAAAAATTGACAATTGTAGTAATTTCCTGTACATTTTGT